TGAAAAAAACCAAGCAATATCTCTGTACTTAAAACTACAAAATATTACTGAGAGAAATTAAAGAAGACTATAAATCAATGAAGACTATTGTTCATGGATTAGAAGATGCAGTATTGTTAAGATGGCAATTCTTCCCAAAATGATTTACAGATTCAAAGCGATCCTAATCATAATTCTACGATGTGGTTTTTAAAAATAGAATTTGGCAATTTTATTCTAAAACTTATATGGAAACGCACAGGACCTAAAAATACATTTAAAATGGTGCATTCTAATAAAACTTTGTACTATGATGGAAGTATTCTATACCTGCATTGTTCAGTATGGTAGCTAGCCATATGTGACTATTGAGCACTTGAAAAGTAGCTATTGTGACAGAGGATCTGATCATTTAATTAATTTAATTTAATTTAATTTAATTTAAGTGTAAATAACCAAATGTGGCTAATGGCTATTGTATTGAACAATGCAGAAAGAAACACTGAAAAAGCAGGGGACTTACACTACATGGCTTTGAAATTTAGGATACAGCTACAATAATTAAAACACTGTGCTACTGGCATAAAAGAGGCAAACAGATCAATGGAACAGAATAGAAAGCCTAGAAATCAATCCACACATATAAGGTCGTTTGATTTTTGACCAAGGTGCTAAAGCAATCCAAACGGAAAAGGAAACCTTTTTAACTAATGAGGTTGGAAAAACTGGATATCCATATGAAATAAAATGAAGCCCAACTCCATCTCATACTATACGCACATAAAAATATTTCAAAATGGATGATAGACCTAAATGTAAATGAAAAAATTCTAAAACTTCTGAAAATAAACACCAAAAAGTATCTTTACAACTTGGGCATAGGCAAAGATTTCTTAGGTCATAGAGTAATCAGAAGGAATAGATTGACGAATTAGACTTAATTAAATTTTAAATTTCTCATCCAAAGAAAAGACTAATAAAATGCAAAAGCAAGTCACAGACTTCAAGAAAATATTTGCATATTTCTGACAAAGGACTCATTTCCAGCATATATAGAGATCTCTTACAACTCAATAATAAAAAAAAAAGACAACCGAATTTAGAAGTGGACAATGATATGAATAGATTTTTCACAAAGAAGATATACAAATGGCCAATAAACAAAATGTTATTAGTCTTCATGAAATGCAAATTAACAAAAATGAGATACTACCACACAACCATCAGCATGGCTAAAATTAAAAAGATTGAAAACCCCTATGTTGTCTAGGATGTAGAACAACTGGAACTCTCATACTTTGTTGGAAGTATAAAATTATACATCCATTTTGGAAAGAGATCAGGCAATTTCTTATACAGCTGAATTTATACCAACCATACCACCCAGTAATTCCATTCTTAGGTATTTACCCCAAAGAAGTGAAAACATATGTCCACAGAAAGATGTATATAAGAATATTTATAGAAACTATCCATCAACAGAAAAAACTGTCATATAAACAATCTCATATAATTATTAAGTGGAATTAGTGTGGTTAACTATCCTGGTTTCTCTGGGACTGAGAAGTTTTCTGGGACTTTCAGTGCTAAAACTAGGAAACTCTTAAGCAAATCAGGGCCAGTTAGTCATTCTAATTATCCACCTCAGCAATACAAAGACCATAGAATTACTAAAACATCCAACAACATGGGTGAAGCACAAAACATTATGCTGAGTGAATGAAGCCTACAAAAGAGTTCATATTCTATGGTCCTCTTTATATGAAGTTCAGAACTAAGGTGTGGCAAAAACAGAAGCAGGAGAGTGTATACATCTGAGGGTTTGGCTGATGGGGAAGGGGTGTGAGGGAACTTTCTGGAGTGATGGTAATGCTCTCTATTTTGGTAGAAATGTGGGTTACACTGGTGTATACATTTGTCAAAACTTAGTGAATGGTAATTTGAAGTTTCTGCATATCTACATTTTAAAAATACCTGTAAACAAATATTGAACTCTAGCTAATGACATGCATACCAATGTGTTAATAATATGCATACTGAAGTGAGGTGTGACTCTTCTTTCCTTGTCTGGTATGGAATTTCTTAAAAAAGTGGTGTAGATGTTAGAGATGGAAGAAGGGAGAATAATACCTTGAGGATTGCTTCTGAGTGGAATTGTCTGTTATTGACTCCATTCATTTTAGAAAAATTTTCTTTAACTTTTTGGCAACAGCTTCCATGTTGCTGAATCCATTTTTCTGTTTTGTTTTGTAATCCTGTGTTTTGCAGGAAGAATCTTACTTTGCTTTCTAAATCAGTGAGCTTCTTTCATTGTTATATATATGTAATCTAACTGTAATTTTGTTTTATTAATTGCCTCAGTGTTATTGACTCTTTGCTAACTTTTCTCACAACCTTTTTTTTTTTTTTTTGGCTTTTATAGTATTTACAAGTATAAGCAAAATATCTCCATATTATGTCTTTTAGTAGTCATTTTATTTCTCCAGAAAGTTACTTAGGATTATTTTAAGGGATGGCAGTGCTTACAACATTCTAACTTCTTGTTATCTAATGTTTCTTTAATACTATAGTACTTTTAAAATTGGTTCTGGATTGGCTTTAGATTAGCTTCTGTTTAATGTTTTTTTTTTTTTTATATTTTGAAGAGAGAGAGAGACAAGGCATAGGCAGGGGAGGGGCAGAGAGAGAGGGAGACACAGAATCCGAAGCAGGATCCAGGCTCTGAGCTGTCAGCACAGAGCCTGACACGGGGCTGGAACCCACAAACCCTGAAATCACAACCTGAGCAGAAGTCGGATGCTTAACCAACTGAGCCTCCCAGGCACCCCTAGATTAGCTTGTTTATTAACAACTTTTTTGGGTATTCACAAAAATAAAAATGTACACTGTAGAAAATTTTAGCCTTGATTTTAGAAAATTTTAATCTTGTTAGGGTTTTACTTGTTTTCACGCATACTTTTTGTTATGGTAATGAGGTAGGTCAAAAGAGTACTCTCAGCACCTGGGTGGCTCAGTCGGTTAAGTGTCCGACATGGGCTCAGGTCATGATCTCCCATTTTGTGAGTTTGAGCCCCATGTTGGGCTCTGGGCTGACAGCTCAGAGCCTGGAGCCTGCTTTGGATTCTGTGTCTCCCTCTCTCTCTGCCGCTCACTGCTTGCTTGTGCGTGCTGTCTCTTTCTATCTCTCAAAAATAAATAAAAAATTTAAAAAATAAGAGGGTACTCTCAACATCTTTCAAGGTATCTTTTATCTTTTACTTCTCCTTCTTCTTATATACCTCTAAAATGTGTTGTTCTTATAAAGAAGTCAGTTATAATAATGGTTCTCAATCCTACCAAACCCAGTGCACGCTTCTAATAAGGTTTTTTTTTTTTTTTAGTTTATTTATTTTTGAGAGAGAGAGAGAGAGAGAGAGAGCGAGCACACATGCATATGGGAGAGGGGCAGAGAGAGAGGGGAGAGAGAGAATCCCAAGCAGGCTCCTTGCTGTCAGTGCAGAGCCTGATGCAGGGCTCAAACCCATGAACTGAGATTGTGACCTCAGCCAAAATCAAGAGTTGGATGCTCAATGGACTGAGCCACCCAGGCACCCCTCTAATAAGTACTTTTTTTTTTTTCTTTAACGTTTATTTATTTTTGAGACAGAGAGACAGAGCATGAACGGGGGAGGGGCAGAGAGAGAGGGAGACACAGAATCGGAAACAGGCTCCAGGCTCTGAGCTGTCAGCACAGAGCCCCACATGGGGCTCGAACTCACGGACCGTGAGATCATGACCTGAGCCGAAGTCGGACGCTCAACCGAGTGAGCCACCCAGGTGCTCCTCTAATAAGTACTTTTAATAATTTTTTTTCTATCCTGAAATTAATAGATTATTTTAATCTACCTACACACATAACCAAAAACTCAATGTAAGTGCCCTTAATATAAAGAGGAAATAAAAGGAAAGTAATTAACAACTATTTCAATATGTAAATTTAGGGGCATGATATACTAGTCAGATGCTTGTTATCTATACACAGAAACCGAATGGGACAGCTACAATGCAGTGGATCTTTTTGGCAGTTGTGTCACTTCTCAGAATAATGTTTTGGTTTTTTGGGGTTTTTTTTCGTAGTGAATATATTTTTTTTAATTTTATTTTTTTAAATTTACATCCAAATTAGTTAGCATATAGTGCAACAATGATTTCAGGAGTAGATTCCTTAGTGTCCCTTACCCAATTAGCCCATCCCCCCTCCCACAACCCCTCCAATAACCCTCTGTTTGTTCTCCATATTTAAGAGTCTCTCATGAGGGGGACAAAACATCAGAATAATGTTTTTAATGCATAATATAAATAGGATTACAAAGGAAACCAATTGTATTGAAATATAGACCCCAGGTTAAGAATCCCTGAAACTCCATTGGGTGTGAGTACTAAATTGTGAGTACTAAATTATAAGAGTTTTCTATTTGGGGAAACAATGGAAGCCTTGATATTAAAATGTTATTGATTCAAAAGTGCATTTGAGTGCCTACATCATTTTGTCGTCAACATAATGACATCAATAGGGATTAACTAACATCAGCTCTCTAATAGAATAAGGCAAATTACTTAAGAGCTGTATTTCTATTCTAATTTTGTATCTCATTAGAAACCAAGTGTATGAAATGGAATAATGCTTCTATTTCCCATACTCTTCTCATTAGGACTAAACTACCTCTCTGATTAATATCAATTTTGCCAACTTATTTCTTCATATTACTTAAGGGAGTAAGGTAACCTTGGCAGGACAAAATCTTCCTCCAGCTACCATTGGGCAAGTTAGCAAATAATTTATCTGTATTAATAGGGTAATTTAAACCCAAGTGGTTCTAAGAATAGGAATCATAAAGCAGGATAATCAAGAGTTTGTTTCAACAGGTGCTCACTCAGTGTTTTCTAAGAGTGCATTGTAAGAGGTGACCATGTTGTATGTGTATGAACAGCCTGTCTTGACAAATGTGCAATGTCATGATGATGAGTTTTATTTCTTTTAGGGTATGTCTCTGTGCCAGACTGTTGTTGTAGGCTCTGTAGTCATTCTCCTCTACTCTTCAAGAGCATGTTACAATTTGGTGGTGATCACCATATCTCAGGATACATTAGAAAGTCCATTTAACTATGGCTGGGATAATCTTTCAGATAAGGTAAGTAGCTACCATGTATTGCTAATCTAATAATTTAATAAGGAAGTTAGCCTTAACTAAGAGAACATTTTAAGTGTTTGACTTACAAACAAACACTTTTATGGAATCTCTAGCTACTAACAGTAATCAGACTTAAAGCTTTATGTATAAAAATCCTCATTTACACGTGTCACTTAAAATCATTCGTCAGAATATTTTCTTTTCTTTTTGCAAATAATACTACTAGTGACATAAACCTACTGTTCATAAACCTATCTTGCTAATTTTTTTCAAGGACAGTGTTTAAATACCTCTAGATAAATGGATTGTCTGTCATTAGCTAGTGAATATATCTTTAACTTGTTAGGATAAAAGTTATTCTCTCAAACCCAAGACCTACATATAATCTAAATATGTGGTTCAGTTTGTTTAAATAATGACTTTTTTGAAAATCTAGTATCATCAGTCATGTTAATGGGAGAGCATTCATAGTTCCTTGGGTGTCCAGGTATTTGCTCCAATAATTCCCAGTACTCTATATTTAACCTCCCAGCACTCTCCATCCCCTACCTAAAAGTGCAGTTTGACATAGCTACCTGTCATATGTTTACATTAACTTAACTTTGTACTGAATTGAAGACATTCTGGAATACCATTTTATAAGAATTTCAGTTACCATTCTAAAGAAAAGGAATTTTCATATGTGGTTCCAGATGGCAGAATGTCTTCACTCCTTTTGCCATTTCTCTCTCCCAACATCTAGTAGGATAAGCAAACTCAATACGAAGTTTAGGCCCAAAGACATATTTTTAAATAGCAGTGGAGCTGAACAATTTGATATGTGACATTTCTCTACAGGTGTAACTCAGTAAGTGCTATTATGTTGCCCATGGAGTAGTTAGAATGAGTAGTCTCTTTTATAACTCTCTTCAGACTTTGGGGCCAAAAAACGAGATCACTCCATTTTATCCATATGTTAAAAATCTTTTCATAAATTGATGCACTGAAAAATAGCTTTTTATTCTACTTAACATCAAAGCACATTTTTACATCCTTTAAAGGATATGAAACCACAAAATATGGAAAATTGGAGATTTATGTGCCTGTGGTTGATGTGTTTTCAATTACCCTACCTGACGCAAGTTAACTGTGGAGGGTGACTGCTTACACATCAGACAGACTTAAACATTGCTCTGTCACACTCTGTTTACAGGCTCATCTAGAAGATGTGAGTGGAGAAGAGTATGTAGTATTTGGAATGGTCCTCTTTCTGTGGGAACATGTCCCAGCATGGTCTGTGGTACTCTTTTTCCGGGCGCAGAGACTAAACCAGAATTTGGTATGACATCATAAGATTCCCCAATGCCTGTTGCCCTTATCTTTAAAAACAATGGAACATTTATATTGATTTTCTATTTTTGTCAAAGTTTAAGACTAAAAAGCATTCTAGATCTCATCCTTCTTTCTTAGTTGGAAAGTAAATCTTCATATGTTAATATTTTGTTCACAGGCACCTGCTGGCATGATAAATAGTCACAATTACAGTTCCAGAGCTTACTTTTTCGACAACCCAAGACGATATGATAGTGATGATGACTTGCCAAGACTGGGAGGTTCGAGAGAAGGAAGGTAGGTGTTCAGGACAAGCACTGAATACATCAAAAAGGAACAAACTGAAGCTTCGGGGCTAGTACTGAATACATTGAAAAGGAACAAACCTAAGCTTTTTAAACATTTTTTAATGTTTATTGATTTTTGAGAGAGAGAGAGAGAGCATGAGTAGGGGAGGGGCAGAGAGTGAGAGACAGAGACCCAGAATCTGAAGCAGGCTCCAGGCTCTGAGCTGTCAGCACAGAACCCGACGTGGGGCTCAAACTCAGGAACTGTGAGATCATGACCTGAGCCTGAACTGTGAGATCATAACCTGAGCCGAAGTCAGAGGCTTAACCAAGTGAGCCATCGAGGTGCCCCAAGAACAAACCTAAGCTTTGACCCAAATATGTAAAAAGTGATTTGGTGATATACGTCAATAAATAAGATCATTTAAACCAGACCTTAGAGCAGTAGATGCTACACTATACTAGGGAACCTATACTATAGTATAGATAGTATAGGGAACCTATACTATAAAAAACTATCATCTGACTCTAATGTTACCTTTATTTGAGAAATGCCTTTGGGAGTAAAATGGTACCATCTTATTTCAGGATCCCATGTTGCTTCAAAGCTGGCAGAAGTTAGTAAGTAGGGAAGGAATACAATTAGAGTGATGTATATGTTTCCTTATCTATAGTGCTATTCAAAGCCCACAGGAAAACCCTAGATTAACCTTTTGGGAATCTTAGATGCTATAGGAAATCTCCTTGTGTCCTTCTTACTCTAAAATCACTGCAACTCCATACCATTAGCTGTGTATCAGGGCAAAGTGAAAAGCTAAAAGCATACCTCCATAATACTTTGAGCTTGATATAACATTTTCTGTAATCCTCATTTCATCTGGACAATTTACTTAACCTGTTTTTTTTCAGCCTGTTTTTCACCTATAAAATAGGGATAATAGAATTTATCTAATAGGATTGTTGTAAAAATTAAATAAGGTATGTGTGTGTATACATTACTTCATGTATATACACAGAAACATGTCTTACAAGAGCCTAGTCCATAATAAACAGCACTATATTATCATCTGATAATCAAGTTCTAATTCTGACGTATTTATTCTTTTGTAATATGTGATATAAAATCAAGGATATTAGATAAAAGTCATTCCATTTTGTAGAAAGCCATCATATTACTTGGCAAAGAATATACTCAATATTTGAATACTGTATTATGAAATTCATTGAACACTAAAAATGCCAATGTGACTTACATCCTGATCACACTCCTATCACTTTTTTGCCTTTTCTTGTTGCAGTTTATCAAATTCGCAAGGTTTGGGCTGGTATGGCACCATGACTGGGTGTGGCAGCAACAGCTATACAGTCTCTCCCCACCTGAATGGACCTATGACAGACACTGCTCCTTTGCTCTTTACTTGTAGCAATTTAGATATGAGCAATCACCATAGCTTGTATGTAACACCACAAAACTGACAGCATTACCGAGCCGTGATTCTTCCATTGTTTCTCATGAACGTGTATATTCGATGTGTTTAAATGCCATCTACATAAACATTCCATTATCTGTTGCAACTGAAAACACAGCCTGGAAATGTGATTCAGCAGAGAACACACCTGTTACTTTTGACTTCTTCATAGCAAAATGAAGTAAAATGGGAAGTTTGGAGTGGGAGAAAAGAAGGATTAGATCTTAAGGCACTTGATGGCTGCAAACATCCTGACTTTGGAACATCAAATGCATATTTGCATATTTGCACTTTTATCTTTGTTCTGAAAGAGTACACTGCAGTCCCCAAAGTCACACTCTAGGGTTCACACTAGGATATTATATTGTACACCTAATTAGGAGGCAATTTCCCTATGAAAATCAAAGCCTGTATATTCAGTGGTATATTCTATGTGGAAATCTTACCCAATAAAAATTTTACGGTGTGAACAGTGTGCAGGATTAAGGTATAACAATGTACCATTCTTTTTAAAAATCTACTTAAAAATATGTGATCACTGAAGATAGTTCTTTTAAGCATGATTGTAAAATACCAACCAAAATTATTCCATCATTTTTTTTAAACGACAGTAGTAATCCTTTACAATGATGACCAGCAGTGTTCTTTGGAAAGCCACAGTCATTTCTTCAAGAAGAAAGTATACCGGTGAAAATGATGTGGCTACTTTGAGTAGAATTGGTCAAGTGATCATTTTGTATGATTAAGATATATTATAGTAGGTTAAGCATGGCTCTTCAAGAAAGCAATAGTGATTTCTGCATAGGGAGATTTGGGTAGAAACTTCTTGGGACTAAACACATTTACAGATGCATTTAAGAATTATTCATAAAATGTACAATTCTAAGTTAAAACATGAATACATTTTCAAAAGCATCTGATTTGGCTGAACAAGATACAGCTGATTGTACCTATTGAATCAGGATTGTCCTCAGGTAAATTAAGTCATGATACATTATTGCAGTAAACTCAAGTGCAATACTTTGTAAGACATATAATTCCTCCTTTAGTTTTCCCATTTTTATATCTTGTATATGGGCAAAGCCAGATTAAATTTAATTCAAATTAATTCCAGCACTAGACTAAATAAGAAAACTGATGTACTAACTAGGTAAGTACAAAACCAGTGTTTAACAATATTGGAATACTTCTAGAATTATATTAAAACTGTCTTGAATGTCCTATCCCAAATCTAAAAATATATATATATGGTAGGCTAAAGTAATAAAGGATTTTAAAATGCACTTTCTACCAGTATCTATATGGAAAGAAGTAGATGCTGAATACCTCAAGATGCCAAGGGAACAGGCAACATTGGGAAGTTGTCACAATTGTGCTTAAAGACAACTAGCTACATACAGTTGTCTGCCGATCTATTTCTTCAGAACTGCAACTAATACAACTGTCCTTTTCTGTCTTTTGACTAGAAAGTTATGTTTTATTTCTACTATCATTTAAAATACCTTTCAAGGTTTTAATAATTGCTTATTCAGTGATTTCATAAGAGTATAACAGGAATAAATGAAATTTTTAATGCTTTTGATCTTTTGGGAGGCTGGTATACAGCCAAAGAAATTTCTTCTTTTTATCATACAAAATGACTTTGAACTCAATCAGAAGCATAAGCCTATAGTGACAAATGTTACTTTGGGTCTGTTTTAAATTCTCTGATTGTAACCAAATTACTTAAAAATTTATAGTACAGAAGTTAACCTTGGTATTTACATGACAACATAACATACACTTAACCGGGTATATTTTGATGACAACTTCAGTTCTTAGATTTCTATTCAGAATGCCAACTATTTATTTTCCTAATAATGTTGAGTATCTAATTACCTAGAACTATCTGAAAAGATGTGTTATCTCTTTTAATCCTTGAGGTTCCAAGTAAATAAGATAAATTTTTTTCTAAGGCCTCCCTACACAGTGTTCCTATTTGACCAGATAAGCAAAGATTACTTTAAAAAAAAAAATCCAGATAAAATATCTTGGTTCTTTCAGTGGCATTAGTTGATTCTTCCAAATTTCAGATTTGTAGATTTATTCTTATCACTGACTTAGGGTACCTGAATTCTTGCATTTGTCCCCTTGTACACATCTCCCACAATACATCACCAAAGACAAAGAAAGATAAGCTTCTGGCCCAATTTTTGCTTAAAAATTCCAAAGCACTAGGAGCACTTTAAGTTTGGTCTCGAAAGAAGGAGCTGTTTATGAAATCAAAGGGCTACCGATTCCCTGCTCATCCTGCACTGAAGCACATGATGACAATTTCAAACCTTCCTTTTGGTTCATTAATTAGAACAGTGAATTTCATTGCTTAAGTGTGTAATTCTACAGTGATTAGCAGTACTTGTTTTTATTGTTTCATTTGGGTGGTCATTAATTTTGAAACTCTTACCACTCAGTGTAGCTGGTTGTAGTTTTATGAAAGATGTAATTTATAGCTAAAGTGGCTTTTTTATGCATAGCTGCCTTTTTTATTGTTTAACAGTGTTTCTCAGCTATACAATCAGTTTCAAACTGGTTGTGAAAGTATAGCTGTGGCCAATGAATGTATTTATTTGTTTCACTAAATTGTAACAAAACACTACTGTTAAAAATAAAAGTGTTTGTGCTTTTATTTGGAGGTCTGGTTTTCTTAAATGTCTCAACTGATGACACTGACTTCTGTCATACAAGCATAAGAACCCTGGTGCTACCAAAGAAAAGAGAAAAATATCAGGAATTACAGATGATAGTTTGCTGTTTGTGAGCTTATATTTATATCTGGACATCGTGTCTCTTAATATTGTACACTAATTTGACATGAACTGGCACACACTTTATTTAAAAATAGCAATATGATTGTGATAGTATGTTTATTCAAACATTTAGCTAAGAAAAATCTTTGTAAGGGGCGCCTAGGTGGCTCGGTCAGTTAAGCATCCAACTTCAGCTCAGGTCATGATCTCACAGTTTGTGAGCTGGAGCCCTGTGTGGGGCTCTGTGCTGACAGCTCAGAGCCTGGAGCCTGCTTCAGATTCTGTCTCCCTCTCTTTCTGCCCCTCCCCCACTCACGTTGTCTTTCTCAAAAATAAACATCAACAAAACTAATTTTTAAAAAAGTACAATGCTTAAAAAATTTTTTTTGTATGACATGACTTCTAACACCTCTCTCTTTCTCTTTGAATTTTAAACAGGAATAAATTTATCTAGCCTGTAATCTTGGGCAGCTATTCATTGATTACTTGAGAAATTCTTCAGTGATGTTGCCTTTTCCCCTAAAAGAAGAGTTCTTACTATTTTTTCCATAATAGAATCCCTTTATAGTTTGCCAAAACCACACCAAATTTTGAATGCAGTTTTAGGAGATTTTCTGGCCACCCCCCCCTGAAGTCCACAAATCCTTGGGAATCTATTAACTCTTGTTGTAAAGAATATTTGGAGTGAAGGTATGACCTCTAATGCAATAAAGTTGTCATTTTAAAAGCAATTTATTCAACAAACATTTATTAAGTGTTCAAATGCCAAAAACTATGCTATGGAGATGCAAAAATGGATAAAGTTCCTTTTCCTGCCCTTAAGGAGCTCACATTCTAGTAAAGGAGGCTTAAAAAAAATACAGTACAATAAGTGACACAGTAGAGGTAGGTTGTAATTACAGTGGTGACATTTAAGAGGAAATTAGACGATCCTCCTTGGGTGAAATAAGGAAGATTTCACAGAGACGGGCTCTCTGCTGGCCTCCAGGGAGACACGGGAATGTTCCAGGTGGGGAAGGATGGCTAGAGCACCTGATGCAAAAAGAACAGCACGCATCAAGGTGTGGAGGCCTGATCCTGGCACATTTGAAGAATTAAGTGTTTTATCAGAGCATGGGGGCTGGGGTGGCACTGGAGACACATCAGAGGACCTTGTTAGAGTGCTTCTAGAAAGCCTGCTGTGGCAGCATGGTGGGGCACACGAGGGGAAACAGGCTGAGAATAAGGAGACAGGTTAGTGTAGTGCTCTAGGTTAGAGCAAACAAAAGGGAAAGACAGAGAAATGGAGATAAACTCCACAGCGCTTAGACACCGACTGGACAGGGGAAGATGGAGAGGAGTGAGCCTAGAGAATTAAGATGATGATGGTTCTGAAATTAGCCAGAGTAAGGAACACGGGCATAAGAATCGATTTGGGAGGAGAGTGATTAAGATATACAAGCATCTGTGGAACAACGGTAAAGACATGTAGTAAACAGATGGATTGACAGGTGTGGACTAATAATAAGGATTTAGAAATCATTGAATCAGAATTACTCAAGAGTGAAAAGTGGTGGTGATTAAGGGCAAGAATGAAAGTCAGAGGAATAACATTTAAGGCACTAATGAAAAGAAGCTACAAAGGGAAGTATCCAGGAGTGAAATATAAGAAACCCTGGGGAGAAAAGGAACCCTGGGACTGCCAACAGTGTCAAATGCAGGAAAACAAAAGTCAAATGGCTTGTGAACTGAACTGTAAATTTATAATTTGAATTTTTGACTTCAAAAGAAGCAATTGTTAGGAACAACAGAGCCAAAAGCAAGATTTTGGTTATGGAGCAAGTGGGAGGTGACAAAGTGATGATGGGAATACTCTTTCAAAACAACTGACTTTAAGAGAGGGCAGGGCAGGACATGAAAGTTTGAGCAGCATACAGACAAAATTACCATTTAAACCCATCTTCCACATGTTCAGATACTACAAATGTCCTTTAAACTTTTACACATGGCACTTACTCCATGCTCCTTTGAGTCTCCAACAATATTGACTTAATTAGTAAATGTCTTTCTTTTCCTGCCTTATTCAAATGAGGGGTGGGAAGAAAATATGACATATTGTTAAACTTAGCTCTGTGATTATTCATTTAAAATATACTGAATACAAATTCATACATTCATTCAACAAATATGTATTGGATACCCACTATGTGCTTACTACGTGCTTGGCACTACGCCAGGCTTTAGAAAGGGCACAGAAAAGAAAAAGTATACAGCAGTATAAAATGATATTTCTAAACCATTATATAAATAAATCCTGCTTTATTAATAATGTGACATCTCAACATGATACACCTGCTAAAACGCATAGAGGGCACATCCTTTTGAGGTATAGTTTTTTTCATTCACAATTAGCATGTGATCAAAATTCTTATACTTCTTCAAATATTTTTATCATTGAAGGACTGCCACTAATGAAAACCTCCCGAAATTGGTTAAGTTTTAGGGAGAAAAAGGAAATGAACCTCACGTACAAAAAAAATTATACGCCCTATGACTATACATATCAGGCATTAAGAGGGCAACAAAAAAAGAACTTTACAGTGGAACTCAAAATGATTCCTTATTCTAAGGCTTACCGTATGATAGTTCCACTTTTATTTTTTCCTGAAAAAATCATTTAAAAAAATTATTCAGTATTACACACTGAAGTATTTATAAGGCTCAAAGGGCATGATGCCTGAAATGGACTTGCAAATGATTTAGGAAAAAACAGTATATGTCTGTATATATACAGAGAGAGCATGATAGATGAAGCAAACGTGAACGATTCGTGAATCTGGGTAAAAGAGTTCTTTGTACTATCCTGGAAACTTCTGTAAATTTGAAATCATATAAAAATAAAGAGTTTCCCCCAAATTTTATTCAGCACTAGGTAAAGTATTAGGAGAATAAATATATAAATCTATTCAACTTTTCACAATGTTTAGAAATCCCTTAAGTCTTTGAGTTGGTATTATATCTTTCTAGACACCAAAACGAGCCAATCAAAATAGCAATATAATTCTAAAACAGATTTATTTCATACCAATGTACTTTTTGGGTTGCTAGATTAAACACAGGATTCCCAGTTAAATCTGAATTTTAAACAGGAAATAATTTTTGGTGTAAGTCTGTCCCAAATATTGCCTAAAGCAAGCTTACCTTAAAACATTATTCATTTTTTACCTGAAAGTCAAATTTAACTGGGCATTCTGTATTTTTTTTTTTTTTTCACTAAAGCTGGTAACCCTCAATGTACTGAAAAATTTTAGGCTGTTAATTATGGATTATTCATGAGCCTCCTCAGCATTTTCCTATAAAGCGGTCAACACACCGACCATAGCTTTATTTATATTACATCTTCTTAACACAAAATTCTTGAGAGACTTACAACATTTACTTAGTTTTAACATATATGAATTTGATAATCCTCATTTTATTCAATGTTAAACTTTAAAATTTTTACCACATCAACAAAGTATTACTTTTACTCACAATAATATTATACACAGACTTAACACAATTAAAAAAAATTGTCTACTTAAAACAATATAATTCTCCTTTTACAAAAGCAGCTTTATATAAAATGTTTGGCTTAAGAATGTCATTGCTCATATGCCTCTGAATGAAATTCCACTCTTTGGCCTTCATAGTCCAGAAACAGGCACATTTCAACTTGTTTTCTGTTTTCTTTAATGAATATTTTGTAACAAATTCCTGAAGTTTTCTAATTCTTTCACACTTGTGGAAATTCTGTAAACAAACAAAAAAATTTCACTCAGAAACTATCATAGATATCTTTTCTGTTATTCAACTCTGCATTTTTTAGAGCACAGAAAAATTTTCAAGTAATTTATTTTAGTAAATTTAAAGATGTATAAACCACGTTGTCAATTTTGATGTACTTGAGTTCTTAATTTGATGTGGTAGAACTAAGATAATATTGCCCTGAAATTAGTTATTTTTCAGTATTGAAAACTTAGTATTAAATGTTTAAAATACAGAATTATAAGTACATAAACACTAAAATACTTAGATATTTAAAGTATTCATAAGTATAGTCACATGCTTAGCATTTAAAGTACATAAGTATAAATTACATAAGCATTAAAATATGTAGTTTATTTTTTTTTAATTTTTTTTTTCAACGTTTATTTATTTTTGGGACAGAGAGAGACAGAGCCTGAACGGGGGAGGGGCAGAGAGAGAGGGGGACACAGAATCGGAAACAGGCTCCAGGCTCTGAGCCATCAGCCCAGAGCCTGACGCGGGGCTCGAACTCACGGACCGCGAGATCGTGACCTGGCTGAAGTCGGACGTTTAACCGACTGCGCCACCCAGGCGCCCCTAAAATATGTAGTTTAAATATGCATAAGTATATGAATAGTGAAACTCATCAATATTCCATATTTAGTAAATACACAAGAATCAAAGCTTTTGGACTACAAAGAGTGACAATAGTAAATATGTGACCAAATTGTTTTCACTACTTTTTATAAAAGTTTGATTATTATTTTGAAGTGTATTTTATTCTGCTCTCCACCATAAAAAAAGTACCATAATTCTCAATGAACTAAAACGTTAAGTTTCTGTGTACTAGAGAATAATTTTGAAGGTCAATTATTTCAAACCCAAAATATTAAATCATATTTTTTTAAAGTGAAGAAATGTCATCCTTAGAAAATGTCGTTTGTATAAATCTCTGCATTCTCTACAAACAGTAGTCAGCAGGAAATGCATCTATACATAAAGTATAGATGTATAATGTATACATTATAATGTATAAAGTATAATGTAAGTTCCTTATTTCAAGTTTATCTTCCAATCATTTTAAAAAATTATTTTTAAAGAATTATTAACCTTTTCACATAATGGTGAATCCACAAAGAAATTGTATACATATACCTATTTTGAACAACATGATTTTTTCCAGGACCTTCAAAAAATATGTGGGCAGCACAAAAACTACTTTTAAATAATTAGAAAAATATACACAAATTCAGTAAAATTTTATGTGAATACTGAATTCTAATCAATAAATTAATCATAATTATAAAAATCAATAGACAAAAGTAAAGAATATCATCTAATGATTGTGTGTGCCTACATTTCATAAGATCACAGAATTCTGTAGTGAAAAAATTTCACTAAAAAGGATATTCCTTACCCGTTTTATCTGAGAGTGTATGTGTTGCACTAGATTTACTTGGCTAACAGAAACAATTTAAGTACATTCAAACTAACCTTCCAAATGCATTAAATAATGATACTATTTCTTGTCGGGTTAGATGGAATTCATAGCTGGGCCCACTTTCTGGCATATTTGCTATCAGTTTCTCAGAAAACAAAATCTTCAGAGCAGTCCCCAAACCCTGTATCTATAATAGAAATAAGAAAAAAAAAAAGTCAGAAAATTCTTTGGGTAAAGAATAAATGAAAAATAAGATTGAGCTAGATTTACTTACCTGAAGCTTTCCCCACAGTCGACACTTAAAACAACCAACACAATCCATGATTCTAGAAATATTTCTAAAATGCAGTCGAAAGTCCTCCTGAAAACAATTTAACGAGATTTTATTTATATTTAGTATATAATCAAACACTAAGTGTTTTCTGAGTGCCTTCTATGTGTCCAGCACTGTGCAGGGGACTAAAGGGGATTGAAAAAGGGGAAGAGAATTAAAATCCACATTCACTGAGCACCCCTGCGTACCAGAATCTACATACACAATTTCATTTTAACTTCCCCGCAAATCCAAAAGCAAACGTTATTATAATCTACATGAATTAAAAAAACAAGGTTCAGAGAGGTTAGGTTGCCCAAACTCCCACGTGTAGGAAACAGCAAACAAAGACCCCTGGCCTGCCTGACTCAGAAACTAAACTATCTGCAAATATACAAAAAGGTAACTGAGTTGAGATGTTTTGCTTTATGTGATTATTAACTATATTAAATATCAGAAGAAGGGGGACAGGCGTAGAATGGCATCATTTACCAAGAAAGAAAAAAAAGGGGCACCTGGGTGGCTCACTTGGTTAATATCGAACTCTTGTTGGTTTTAGCTCAGATCATGATCTGGCAGTTTGTGAGTTCTAGCCCCTGCTTGGGATTCTCTCTCTTTCCCTCTCTCTCTGCCCTTCCCTCGCTCAAGCTCTCTCCCTTTCTATCTCTTGCTCTCTCTCAAAAATAAATAAATAAACTTTAAAAAAAAAAAAGAGAGAGAGGGAGGGAGAAATTTCAAAATTTGGCTCCATAAAAGTTAAAGAAAGCTTTGCTTTCTGGTATTAATTAGGTAAAACAATCAGATATTTTATTATTAATAATATTTTACCATATTTTTATTTTTAAATATATTTATAATTAATATTATCATACAGAAATATACAGAATATAGTGAACATCCAGGTATATGTCACCAATCTTTAAAAGAAACTATCACAAGTACCACAGAAACCTCTATGTATGCCTCCAAAGTCCTGTATCCTACTCTCTATAATTATTCTGAATTTGATGTTTATTGTTCCCTTTTTGGTTTTATACTTTTAATATGTAGGTATATATTCTATAACACTAAGGTATTACATTGTTTATAATAGGAAAAAATTAATCCAGATCATCCAAAAGTAGTATATGTCCTTAAGGAGTAAGTAAAAAAGATAGGAAACCAAGAACACATCCTACTTTTACTCCAATGGAAATTAGTTTGCCAAGTGACTCCTTCTGTCCTGGACTTGTACTGGAATCCCAAGCTTTAAGCAGGAAATTTGACATACATTTCTGACTGAATATCCATTGTACCAGTCAGCCCACAGTTTGAGGAGTGTGTAGCACTTCTCTATTTTTAAATGTGACAAACCACACACTGGGCTCAACCAGAAGAGAACAGGACCAATGACTTTAAAATGGGAATAAATCAGCAAAGACTGGAACCCACTTTCAAAGTGTATTCACAATTCATCCTGAGGATACTTCTTCCCTAGATGCTTTATTCAGCTTGAGGCTTTGAAGTAGGTGTAATGTACAAAAGATTTTTTTCTAGGATCCCAGATCTTGTATCTTTATCAATATAAATTTTGTATTAATTTAGTATAAAGCCCAAGTCAATAATATTACCATTTGTTAACAATATTCTACATCTTATGTTTCTGTACCTTTTGCACTGAGTTCAGTAAGAGGTAATCTGAATTTTAAACCTACTTTTTAAAAATATTTACCCAGTAATATTACTCTAAGTAAATTTTGGTGATTTAAGGTTTCCTTTAAACTTGTGTTTTAACCTGAATTAAAGAAAAATCACACTTTGGGGCACCTGGGTGGCTCAGTCGGTTAAGCATCCGACTTCAGCTGAGGTCATGATCACACGGTTTGTGGGTTCGAGCCCCACGTCAGGCTCTGTGCTCACAGCTCAGAGCCTGGAGCCTGCTTCGGATTCTGTGTCTCCCTCTCTCTGCCCCTCCCTAGTTTGCACTCTCTTTCTCGCTCTCAAAAATAAATACATTTAAAAAAAAATTTTTTTTAATCACACTTTTAACAATAACAGCATAGTAAAATTACTCTAAAGCAGATGTCCCCATCCTATGAAGTGCTGACCTCTGAAGGGTTCAATAATTACAAGGGCCTACAAAATCCATATGTAGACAAGCATTGCCTACAGACAGAATAGATCTCATGTATGCACTATAAATTTCCAAATGAATATAAATGCTATGATCAATAAAACACAACTTTTACCTTAAAAGTGTTACCAAATGTATTTTAGCCTTTTGGTAATTATATTGTCATAATCTATAGATACAAAAAATACTACTCTCACAGGGAGAGCTTAAAAGTTTTTGACTTTAGGGACTCTCATAGTTGGAAAGGTTGGAAGCCTCTGTTCTAAAAGACTGTGCTTGCTTTTGTAGACACCTAAATTCAGTATCTGGATCTATGTTTGTTAATTCAAATACTTGAATGTGGCAGCTCTTGAGTAAATCTTTGTATGGCATACACAGAGAGTAAGCATGATTGCTTACAATAGCCAAAATAACACTGCAAAATTAAAGCAAAGCACAATTGCTTATGTGAATTTAATATGCCAGAACCAAATTAATAAGCTAGAAATTTACTACATCAGACCAGGAGAAAATATCTGTGACTTCACAAATATCAATGTCCAATAACCTAAATATATTCCAAAGTTATCTCGGATTAGGAGAATTTATGATCCTTAAAATAACCAGAACCTAAATCACTTATAGATTCTCCTTGTTTATGTATACAGCTTTTAGGTCAGTACTTTAAATTATAGTCAGTGGGTAGAATGAACAAACATGCTGTGGTTACATACCGTAGTTTATATTCAGTGAAACCAACTGACCAAAACCCAATTCTCACCCGATCCTTAAATGTTTTAAAAGCCTTCAAGTGAGATCCTACTCTATTTTGAGTTGAACACTAAACAATTCTTTCATGCAGTCTTCTATTTCTAACCATACATTGACAGAGTATAAAGCAGATGAGATTTTTTTGAGAGAGAAGGGGCACAAGTAAGCAAGAGGCAGAGAGAGGGAGGAAGGGAGAGAAAGAGACAGAGTGAGAGAGAGAATCCCATGAAGGGCAGAGAGAGAGAGATACAGAGAAGCATGGCTCACCCCAAGCGGGGCTTGAGCTCACCTGATGTGGGACTTGAACTCACAAACCATGAGATCATGACCTGAGCAGAACTCAGATGTTTAACCGATTGAATCACCCAGGCGCCCAAGATGAGATTTTAAAATGAATTTATACATACCCGAAACTAATATAACACCCTATATTAATTATAAAAAATAAAACTTAATGTGATGGTTCAAATCCATTGTGTTCACCATAAACTACTTTAAGAAAGTAAACTCTCTGATATTAACAAATTTTCTTGTTTTTTTACTTTTTTATTATAAAAGAATTCAGAAATCTGAATTCTGAAAAAATCCTATTAAACTCCATAGGACATCAAAGATGAGTGTTCCCCCATCTTTAGGAGCCCACTGAGTGGATGCCGGCTCCATGACTTCTAAGTGTCAATGAAGGCAGAGTCAGACATATAGTTAGGGAGAGGGAATGGCTACAGCCATGACCAAAGTACGTTCAATATTTCCACAATGGGAGCGAGACCAATGTGGCATGGAGATGTGTTTCTTCATTTCCCCAGGCCCAGCAAGGAGGCCAGCTCCCCACTCCTACATCTGGCCCATCCTCCAAACAGGTCTTGGGCGGATCCCGCTGCCAAGGCCCTAGGGCTTAGCATGTCCATATCATCCTGAAACCAAAAGGCCAGGGCTCCTTTGGCGCAACTTGTCCCACAGTCACAAGGGCTGATCCACACTGGACATCTCCAAGCCAGAGATAGGACTCTGGGAGACTGCATTTATATGGATCCTGAGACGAACCTTGATAGATAGTAAAAGATGTCATTAAACTTGAAAAAAAAAAAAAAGCTGAGTGTTTCAGAGTTTTGATAAAATTAAAACATTATGAGAAATATTTCTAATCTGCACAATATAAAAAGAGTTGATGCAAAACAAGCTCCTATAAAACAGCAAGTATACTAAAAATAAGGATGACAGTGAAAATAGTAGAAAAAAGTCTTTTTACGGTATCTTCCCCCTCACTTTTAACTTCCTGGAAGCTGCCTGGGAGGTTATATAAGCACTGAAGTATGTATTTCTAGCAAGAATGCTTTCAGTAGGAGGTAGATGGGAGGTCAAAAATAACTATTATTTCATAGCAAAAAAAAAAAAAAAAAAAAAAAAGAGTGAGAAAAGTATTGTGTTTGCAAACTGCATAAAATCAGGTTCTTTCCCTATAGAAAAAACAAAGAATAACAAAACAGAGAAATATTGCCATAAATATTCTGAAAAAAATCAGATCAAGCCCAGAGCTCCTGAGGGCCACCTGCCTTTCCTTACCTATAGTTTTGTAACAAAGAACAGTAACATAATTTTACTTGAGTCCCCAAATAAACTGGAGTCTGCTGAGGGTAGAAGCTGTCCCTTCCTTTAATGAAAGAATCCTATTTTGCATATAGTGAGTGTTTAATAAATCTTCCCAGTAATATTTTATATTTGTAGGATTTTGATGCAAATATACACAAAGATGGTCTTTGCCTGAGCTTATACCCCTATTAAGAGACAATCCTCATTTTGTAGGGTATCATGTCGTTTCTTCCCATGGCTACATGCTGGCTTTCCTAAATACCTTTAATTCCTGCTGAATGAGATAAACGACAAACACTGTGCCCTCTCTCCCTAAAGAGGATCTTTGTAATTTAACCAAAACCATTTTCAGAAAGACAGACTAATATTGTCATTCATGCTCTAGATTCCTCTCCCTTAATTTACAAGTTCTATTTGCTACGAGACCATCAATGTGAAAGCCATCTGTAAAGTGTGCAGTGACACACAGATTTCAGTCGTTAACTTTGAACACAATACAAACTAGATATTAAGCTGACCTGCATTTGGACTTCCTTTTTTCGAGGAAAAGAAAGTTTATGACTCTGGCTTTTCATATAATTTCATATTTATATAATAAGATTTATTGTTAATTATAAAAACATGGGCTTATATTCATACCTGCATAAGAGTTTGAAACTAAAAATTAAAGTATAAAATCATTACCTTCAGTTTGTTTGCTTCTTTTTTATCCCCAGCAAAAAAGGAATTCTCATCAAAATGCAAAGGAAATGATCTGCATTTCAAAACAGAGAAGATTCATTTTCAGGTATTATAAAATATTAAAAGTCCCGCTAATATAACATTTCACAGGTCAGTGATGAATAATATAATTAAATAGAGTAGAAAATATAAGGGCGCCTGGGTGGCTCAGTAGGTTGAGCTCCGACTTCAGCTCGGGTCATGATTTCACGGTTAGTGAGTTCAAGCCCTGCATTGGACTCTGGTGCCGACAGCTCAGAGCCCGGAGCCTGCTTTGGATTCTGTGTCTCCTGCTTTCTCTGCCCCTCCCCAGCTGCACGCTATTTCTCTCTCTCAAAAAATAAATAAACGTTAAAAAAAAAATGTTTTTTTTTTAAAAAGAAAAGAAAATACAGTAAAATCAACACTCTTGCCCCAAAACAAATTCTTATCCACAAATCTAAAACAACTACATAAAATAGAAGTTTGGCCTTAAACCCAGTGTGTTCAACTGAAAATGAAAATAATGTAGGTATCAAGTACTACCAGAATAATTCTTTAAAAACTTGTGGCTTATAGTACCTAAGTCAAAACAAAAACAAAATGCAATTCTAAAAGACCTGTGTGCAAAATTAACTTCTAATTACTTTTTTTAAATAATTTTCCCTTCTTTAAATTCAATGTTCAAGAATTGAACTTTGGATATCGCCTGTCACTCTTCTACTAATATTTTAAGTTGTACAAGTTGTAATATGTAATTTACTTGATTTCATGAAGTATTTCCAGAAGTAACATTTTGTTTTCTGCATCCTGAACTTTATTTCCAGTGAAGAGTTGAAAATCTGGGCGCTCAAAGAATGGTACCACTTTAGATAAAGCCCTTAATTCTATTAAGTAGAGAAAATACAAATTCTTAAGCCTTCTTGGACCTTCTCCTTCAGTCAAAATTCCATCAAACCGCTGCTGAAATTCTGTAATGTTGTGTCCCCATTTCTTTTCCAACCACGTTTCTAAGAACAAAGAAAAATTAAATAAATATTAAAATCTGAATTTTAAAATTAACTTTCAGTTTACTTACATTGGGTTATTTATGCCTACAGAAGTTAGTTTCGTTTTGTATTTTAAAATATATAACAATGAAATGTGCTTTTGTAATTTAAATTTTAATAGTTCTACATTAATATTTTATCTTCTAGGATCCATCCTTAAAAGAAAAATAAATTCACTGTTGTACTGAGAAATATGGTTTCACAAAAATCAAATTTTTGAATATAAACATATTTATAAAACCAAAATACACAATTTAAACATGACTATCCAAAATTACTAATAAGTTTGAAGCCCTATTTAAAATTATAGTTACTATATTTTGCTCCTGAGACATAGAGCTACTTTAAATTCCAGAAGAAATAGGTTGCTGATGAAAATCAACCATGGTCTTGTTTTGCAACAGCACTTTTAAAACATAAAGAGAAATGGGAAATGCTTTTACCCATTAAACTCCAGGCCTAAAGCTGGCACACAAATAAAAGGGTTTTAATACAGTAATATCTAATGAATAACAAACTGTACTTTAAGGAGCTATTTTAACTCCCGTAACAAAAGAATATTTCCAAAGTGATGTGTACAATTTTGAGCAGTTTCTTAAAAGAAGGTAAAGAGAGCTCTGATCATGCTGAACATGTCCTTATAATACAGTTCCTACATTCCTGATTACTACCAGTTAAGAATGAATTTTTACTGCCTAATATTCAATAGGGTCAACTTTTTCCCATTAAGGTAAATACCAAAACATTTTAAGAATATCTGAAAATAAATGTGGTAAAATAAATAGCATTGAATGTCACATACCTTGTAGAAGATATCGTGCACTCAAATGCACATTAATGCTTGCATGTAGGCCAGATATAAGTCTGTAGAATGCTCTTTTTTCTACACAGAGGCCTAAAAATAGTAATTTAGTAAGAGAAACTTCATATGTGAAACTTGTACCATTATAAAATTAATTTCGTATGTCTTTAAAAATGAAAAACATTTTTAACATTTAAATTTGCTTAAAAGTTTCCAATTACCTTCTAGCCAGCTGTAAAAAGTGTTCTCTGAAATTGAAAGAAAATAAGTCACAAAGCTGTAAAAATGCCAAAATGTAAGTTTTTCAATATATAATAGCAAATTTGTGCCAAACAATGATTTAAGAATTAACAAAAGGTCAAATTTTTATTTGCAATTTCTCCAAAGAAAGGAGAGAAGTTCTTGGTGTGGATTCAATTAAGTACCATTCTCTTGCTCAGTCTTTATTTTATTTCTTTTCTTTTTTTTTTTTTTTAAATAGGCTTCCTGCCGAGTGCAGAGCCCAACATGGGGCTTGAACTCACAACTGTGGTCTCAAGACCTGAGGTGAGATTAAGAATTGGATGCTTAGGTGTGCCTGCGTGGCTCAGTTGGTTATTCAAGCCCCGCGTTGGGCTCTGTGCAGAAAGCTTGGAGCCTAGAGCCTGCTTTGGATTCTGTGTCTCCCTTCCTCTGCCTCCCTCTCTCTTTCTCTCTCAAAAATAAATAAACCTTAAAAAAAAAAAAAGTAAAGAAAAGAAAAAAAGAGTTGGATGCTAAGGGTTAAGCCACCCAGGCACCCACTCTTGCCCAGTCTTTAAAAGGAGTCAGCATTGCCTTAGGTAGCCTAGGTCTCATAACTTTCCAGGTAAAATGTTTTACATGAGGTCAGAACACAGGTGATGCTATGAAAATTAATAACTCATATGCTTTTCTAAATTTGCAAGTAAACAGAATTTATGAAATAGAATTGGTAGTGTATTATTTGCATTCAGCTTATGCCATTTTATGCCATTCAGTATATCAAAGAAGCAATACATGGAAATGTTATAATACCAAATATCGCTTATATTCTATGACCCAATCAGATCACTGTTCCTATACTTAGACCTGGTAATTCTACTTTTAGAATTATGTTCTAAAGAAATAATTCAAATGATGAAGGAGTCAATAATTTGTACAATGATTACATTACATGTAACTTTTAAAACCTGAAATAATCAAAATGTACAATAATGCCTAAATTAACACGGCAGAATACTATATAATTAGATAACATGGTAGAATAATATAAAACTATTTAAAATGGTAAGAATGTGGAGCATGACAATACATGAAAATGTTTATTTGAAATAACATGAAAAGACATGGGTATAATTTTTATAACTAGGTAAAGATTCTGAGTATGCATTTACTACAGATGGCAAACGTACTATATAGTTCTTTTGACTAAAGTTCCTTGTATTTATATTAAAAATGAACTAAACAAGCATAAAAGTAATAGAAGGAATGACAAAGAGAATATGCAATAAATTAGACTATCTAAAAACTTAAAACATCTATTTGTCAGAAAGCCTTACAAGCAAAAGTAAAAGGCAAACAACTAAGTAGGTAGAATGTATGTTACAAATATAACAAAGGGATAATATCTTAAATACATAAAAAGCTCATAAACTGAATAAAAATGCTAGAGTGCCTATTTAAAGCAGGCAAATAATAGTAGAAAATTCACAAAGGATAAACTACAAATGGTAATAACAGATAAAAATTACTCAATTTCACTAGTAATAAAAATGCAAATTAAATCTATAGATATACCACTTTTAATAGTAAAGATAAAAATATGACAATACTCAATTGTCACTTGAAAAGGATCAGGTGAAACTAGCTGCACATTGATTGGAAGGGATGTAAATTAGCACATCCTTTCAATGACAAAATGCAATCTGGTGATACATATGAGGAGCCTAAAATGTCTATAACTTTTGATCCAGAAATTTAGGCTGTTATGGATGAATATGTGCCCCCTAAAATTCGTATGTTGAAGCCCTAACTCCCAATGTGATGGTATTTGGAGGGGGAAGATTTGGGAGGTGATTAGATTAACTGAGGTCATGAGGGCAGGGTCCCCATGATGGCATTAGAAGCTTCTGATACGGGCCCAGCGGATCCTAGAGTTCTGCTTGAGGAGTAAAGGAGAGGAAGTTTTCCCTGATAGGGGCCAGGGGGAATGCCTAGCTTCCATGTGCAATAGGTAAAATGCACAAGTGAATTATGAGAGGCTGAGGCAGGTTGTCTCTACTGCCTGATCCCAGGCACAGTCAATTTTCTCTTAATCTGTGCTTTCACCTCCGGAATCTTAGACATGAGTCTCAGAGTAGGAAGAAAAGTTTGCCAAATAAACATCTGAATGTATCTGCAAACATATATATAACATATGATAAAGAAATTATATTTACCTTCACTTTTCCCTGAAAAACAAAGCAAAATGTTTATTATTGTAAACTCCTTCCAGATGTCACTTTAAAATGCTATACTTCCATAAAAATAAGACTGAATAATGGTTAGTTTTAGTCCATCAGTTCACCCGCCTAAGCAAAATCTGACAGTAAGACACTTGTGAGAGCAACTCTATCTAGTATCTAGGCATAATAGGAATTATGCCTGATTTGCCTCAAGGGCATCATCTCCAAGAGCCTGGATAAGGAGAGGTTTCAGCTCGTACAAGATTTAATATGGGCTGACAGGAGAGAAAAATCTAATCTATCATCTGAGAGTACTCTCAAGTATCTTAAGGACTTAACGGTTATTTGGTTGGCAGAGCCTTTTTCCACGTTTATTTATCCTACATCTGTAACACAGTTTCTGCTAAAGATTTGTGTTCTTGCTTTGAAACCTCCAGACTGACATTGTGAATCTTTACCTTATTCAGGAATATTTTTAAAGACTATGTGTTATGATTCAAATGAGGCACAGTTCAGCGGTTTGTAAGCAACTGTTCAGTTACTATTAAAAACCTTGTCTTCGTTTGCCCACGCTGATTCAATGCCATCATTGTTGGATTATTAAAATAACATATGCTCATTGCAAATATATATATTTTTTTAAAAAAAAGAAGGACACGGATGGAATAAAAAATGTCACTCATAACTCCCTCTGCCCTATATAAATACTGTTTACATTTTGGTAAATGTCCTTTTTCTTTGCAAATAGATATTTAGATTTTATATTAAGTATGTTTTTACAAAAATATATTATATATACTATATACATATACATACTGTTTGATACCTCAGTGTGCTATTGGTCACTACTTACACAAATAAATACAAATTTTCAGCAACATTTCTAACAGCTGCAGTCTACTACATGAATACACCATAAATCATCTAAACAGTTCCTTAATGAAGAACATTTAACCTATTCCCACTTATCTTTCAGATAAGTGAGGGTGGTTAATTAATTTATCAGATCATAATGTGAATTCCTAGTGAGAATCCCCTCTTACCTAGAAATTTGCATTTCATCTTATATTAAATCAATAGCTTCCAGTGAGTTACCATATGTGACTCCATATAAACCCAAACCCTTGTTTAAAGATGTTCTTTCATTTCGAATCTAAGAAAGACTAGTCTGCCAACATTTAGGGAATGATGCAATCTTATTGCTTTCCAGGAGGAAATTTCTGTTTATTGACTCTATGAGATCAGCAGCTTTTCAAATGAATTTTAAAAATGAAAACCTTACACATTTGCTAAAAGCACATCAAAGATTTCATCAGTAAGCACATGTTAAGAGAACAGGGATATATATTTCCTAAGCAAAAAATCTGAAATCATACACTGAAATGGTTTATTCAACAAACCATTCTGCCTATTATAGACTGGGCAAGGTTTCTGAGTTTCAATTTTATACCCCCTCTGCACCTTCACAGTGCCTAGCGCATAGTACACGGAGGGTTATCATTTGCTGAAGGAACAAATGATCTTCACGATTGTAGACAAGACCATTAAATAAAGAGAGCAATTTTCATCAATCATTTATTTAACAAACTACTCCATCTGCTATGTGTCAGGCTCTCTGCTAAGAGATGAAACCAATAAATACTCCCCATATGTCCAAAGTACTAGGTAGGATCAATAGATACATAATAGTAAAATAATGCTGCACAGTGGAAAGGTGGTAAGAAAAACAAAACATAAGACCACTTTATGAGGACAGAGAGGTTTCTTCCAGTTAGGAGGGTCAGGGAGAGCGGAAAAGGCAGCATTTGGGCAAGACCTTGAGCGTATGGAGAAAATGAAAAATGTTAATGAAGCATAAAGACGTGAATTTTAAATCAGACTCCCAATATATACAATGATTTCAAGTTCTGGGAAAGATCTGAGGCAGAATGTTTTTGGATATTCATTTAACTGGAAAATGAGCAAAAACAGTGAAAAACTAAATACAGATATTATATAAAAATGCATAGAAGAATAAATATTTAACCCAATCTCCATCCTATGATAATCTAATACCATGAACTTCATTACACAAATACTTCTTACTGGAGTATAAATATTTTAAACGCCAATTTCTCTATAAGGGTGAGGCATAACTTCCATGGAAATAGAATATATGATCTCAAACGCTCTTGCCAACCCTTACCTGGCCTTCCTCTTCCTTCTAACCAAAGTTCACTGCCTGATAAATAATATAACAGTGCAAATAAATAACTCACCTTGACTAGAAGCCAAAGGATTTAAAGGTCTTTTAATTGTCTGTGGCCTAGAAACAAAAGAATTCAATTATAGAATATAATTATGTTACCTATCATGTTACAATTATTTAAATAAAAGTGAAATTATCTCAGAGAGTTTCTTAATGACTATATCCAAAAGCAAACTGTTTCACTGAGCTTATAAAATATTTAGTTTTCTCTAATTGCTTTAAGGGAGGGTGGTTGTTATCTGTTTTAGCAGTAATAGTTTCTGATCTTTTCCCATTGTAGCAGCCAGAAGAAAGTCATTTCTTAATCACTTCTTCAAACAAAGGAAGAAAATACCAGTCAAGCTCTCCTCCTAGAGTCATAAATGTTTCTATATACATTTCATATACATATACACATGTGTATGTGTGTGTGTTTGAGTGTGGCACAAAGCACACTCCTAAGTGAAAGACGAACAAACAAAAATGTAAATATTCAACCCAAGCATTCAAATAAAAAGGGAAAAAAAGTAGTGTGGGTAGATTATTTTCCACTTAGTTAATCTTAGATACATCAATTTGCCCTGTGGCCACCAAGTTTGTTATGATTTTAGTAAAAGGTATTTTTTTTAAGATATATTTGTTTTTGAGAGACAGCGCAAGCTGGGAAGTGGCAGACAAAGAGGGGGACACAGAATCCGAAGGAGGCTCTCTGCTGACAGCAGTGAGCCCGATATGGGGCTGGAAATCACAAACCGTGAGATCATGCCCTGAGCCGAAGTCAGACGCTCAATCGACTGAGCCACCCAGGCGCCCCTATTTTACTTCACATTAAAAAAAATACCCTTCAGGGGCACCTGGGTGGCTCAGGTGGTTAAGCGTTCAACTCTTAGTTTCAGCTCAGGTCATAATCTCAAAGTTCATGGGTTCAAGCCCAGTGTTGGGCTCTGCACTGACAGTGTGGAGCCTGCCTGAGATTCTCTGTCTCCCCCTCTCTCTGCCCCTCCCTTGTTCACACTCTCTCTCAAAAATAAATAACCTCTAAAAAATAAACAAAGTAAGTAAATTAAATAAAAAATAAACCTTCAGGGGCACCTGGCTGGCTCAGTTGGTAGAGCATGTGACTCTTTTTAAAAAATACTTTCCTTGGGGCGCCTGGGTGGCTCAGTCGGTTGAGCGTCCGACTTCGGCTCAGGTCATGGTCTCGCGGTCCGTGAGTTTGAGCCCCGTGTCGGGCTCTGTGCTGACAGCTCAGAGCCTGGAACCTGTTTCAGATTCTGTGTCTCCCTCTCTCTCTGCCCCTCCCCTGTTCATGCTCTCTCTCTGTCTCAAAAATAAATAAACGTTAAAAAAAAAATTTTTTTTTTAAATAAAAAATAGTTTCTTTTAGTTTATTTACTTTGAAAGAGAGAGCACAGCAGGGGAGGGGCAGAGAGAAGGAGAGACAGAATCCCAAGCAGGCTCCACGATGTAAGCACAGAGCCTCATGTGGGGCTTGAACTCACCAACCTTGAGATCATGACCTGCGCTGAGATCAAGAGTCAGACACTTAACTGACTGAGCCACCCAGGCGCCCTGAGAATGTGATTCTTGATCTTGGGGTTGTAAGTTTGAGCTTCTAGATGGGTAAGAGATTACTTAAAAATAAATCTATGAAAAAAAAACACCTTTAAAGTGAGTCAATCTGTCAAACATCCCTAATAATAAACAAGGGAATTTAAATTAAACACATGGCAGAGATGAGTAAATAATGAAAACTCTCCACTTCAAAACTGGAGAAATTCAAGTCAAGAAAAAGAAATAGACTGACACACAGTGAGTGTTCAAGTGTTACCCATTATAATTATTCTCTGAAATTAATTTAACTTCAACTTGAAAGCAGGTAAAATAGCTATAGCCACAAAAAGACAAATACAGAGTACCAAAAGGAGTATTCTCTATTACTAACTACCTGATCTTGGGAAATGAAATAAACCTGGCTGGCTCTAGGTTATTTCATCTATAAAATGAGATTCTATAATCCACTGAATGAACATGTATGAAATGTCCACAGTACTCCCATAAAAGTCTAACACTATTCTGTTTTTTAAAGAAGAAAAAAAAATATTTGTTGAAAGTCGTGTCCACATGTTTCTCCAGAGGGGAACTAGATTAATTAATAAGTATTTTCTATGTCCAAATATATCCTTTAACAAAGTGAATGTGATTTGCAATTTAGAGTCATTATGATTTTGTTTGTTTAGATAAATCACTGTATCTTTCAGGATTTTCTAAATGAAATGGCCCCTACTTAAAACAGTTTTCTTCATAGATGACATTCCATATCTTCCAAGCATCTGGTCCTTTGTAACCCGTGTAGCGCTCAGGATTAAGGAGCAAATCTACATATTCGGCATCAGGAGACTGTATATCTGGAAAATAAAATGTTTCATTAAGTCTTTTCCTTCAGTTACCTTAAAAAACTGGTATAATAGACTATACTCCACTGATTCTAAGGCACTACAAATGTAACAGTGCATCCAGACTTTAAAAACAACCTTTTACAAGAGATGAGAGAAGGAACAAATGGCCACATTAAATGTACTCACTAGTTGCAAAAGCATCCTGCTTTTAAAAATGATGAAAAATAGGAATATGTGAATTTTAGAATTGAAGAAATATGGTAGTTCAATTCTCATAAGCTATCCAGGCAAAGAATATACTGTGTATTTCCACCCCCCCCCCACCCACCCACATTAACCACAAGCAATTCATCAGTAACTAAAGTAAATGAAGATTATGACTACCATACACTGCTTGTTGCCAAAAACTTCCTTCTTAACACGAGCACCATTGAGATCCACTACAAAGCTGTCCCAAAGGTATCATCCTAAACATGCAAAAAATTATAAGCAGGGTATTAGCATCAGCACTATTTATTAAAGGGAAAATCAGAAGCAAACTGAAACATCCAACAGAGCAGAGCCTGGGCTCTGGAACCAGAGTGTGTGGGTTAGAATCCAGTCCCTACTCCTTATTCAGTGTGGAACTCAGGGCAAATTACATATATTCTAGGCATTGGTGTCGTCATTTATAAAATGGGGATGATATACACTACTGTGATTTAAGTTTCTATGTGTAGAGCTTAGAACAACAGTAAGAATATAAAACATATTAGCTAGTGGTATTATGACATATCTTAACAGACCATTATACAATCAACAAAATTGTTAAGTACAAAGACTATCTAATAAAATGAAAAGATAAGCAATTAGACACTAATGAAAAACATACAAAAATTGGTGGCAGGGACGCCTGGGTGGCTCAGTTGGTTAAGTGTCCTACTCTTTATTTCGGCTCAGATCATGACCTCACGGTTGTGACATCAAGCCCTGAGGCTTGAGCTGAGCCTGGATCCTGCTTCAGATTCTCTCTCCCTCTGCCCCTCCCCCACTCATGTGCATGCACAGGCTGTCTCTCTCTCTCTTAAAAAACAATTGGTGGGATATTGGTTTCTCGTATGTCCTCATATAAATTTGTATAATGTATTATAACTTTGAAAACAAAAAATGGCCCTGGTTCTCCAGGGGCTTTGGGAAATTATTTAATATACATCAACACCTTATTCATTTATATTGTTTTATTTTTTTTGAGAGCGAGAGAGCAAGAGGTACAGGCAGAGAGAATCCTAAGCAGGCTGAGCCACCCAGGCATCCCCCCTTATTGATTTATAAAGCGTAACAATGTGAACGAATAATGAAGAAGTGGGCAAAAATGCCTCAAAGCAGCCAAAGTAGATGACAAAATCGGAGCACACAGGCGTATGTATGAAAGTTCATCAAGCTCTCAACAGACGTACTTCTTATTAAAAACACAATGACAGATGCGCCTGGGTGGCTCAGAAGGTTGAGAGCCCAACTCTTGATTTTGGCTTAGGTCACGATCCCAGGGTCATGGGATCAAGCCCCACATTGGGCTCCACGTAGAGCATGAAGCTTAAGATTCTCCCTCTGCCCCTCCCTCCTGTTCTCTCTCTCTCTCAAAAAAAAATTTTTTAAAACAAAACACAATGACAAAAACAAAAATAAAACTAAGTTTGGTTAGTTTTATCCTAATTAACAGTATACTCGAGACCTAAATTAGAGGAAATTTTGCTTCTAGAAGTAGCACAGTGACAACATCTAGAAATAACTGACACTTCATGCAGAAGTAGCAATTAACATAACTAGGAAAAGTAGAAATAAAAACTTAAAAACAAATTTGCATAGGGGCGTCTGGGTGGCTCAGTCAAGTTAAGCGTTTGACTCTTGATTTCAGCTCAGGTCATGATCTCATGATTCATGGGTTCAAGTCCCATATCAGGCTCTGCACTGATGATGGTGTGGAGCCTGCTTGAGATTCTCTCTCCCTCTCTCTCTCCCCTTCTCCCACTCACACTTGCTCGTGCTCTCTCTCTTTCAAACCAAGGAAACATTAAAAAAAAATTGCATGAACTCCTCTAGTTGAGGAACAGATATTCTATTCATCTCAACTAATACTAAAAGTATTGCCACAGTATATATAGCAAATTATAATAAATTCATAAAAACTCTCATTTTTAAAATATACAAATAACGGCTCAGCATCTAGTACTTTAAGACAGAAAACTAATCACCAAGAAATTTATTAAATTTTTAATATTCTGCCTAATTAGACGTAAACATTAGGTGATTGGTAATTTTACTTACAGCAAATACTTCATCTTGCCTCATCTTTTTAATAAAAAATATTTGTTACAATAACCATGTTTTGCCAGATGACAAAAGCTCAACTTTCTAATTAAAATGTATACAACACCTTTTGTCTTCTACCTACTATTTATATAATTTCTTCATTATAAAGCTATCCTTTTTTGTTTTAATATTGACCCTCCTTGAACAGAAGAAACAAATATAAATGGACAAGTGATTCATCCAAGATAACAGAAGTCCACGGATAACAAATGAATTATTGATTCTCAGTCCTTGCTACACAAATATAAGCATGTAGCCTCAAAAGGAAACTATGGTAAACAAAGTTAAAGTATTACTGTTCGTTCTCTAGCACTGCAGGTCTAAAAAAATGTGCTGCATGTTATAAGCTTAATTTTATCTCACACGGTAACACTCAGGCCAAAGAATCTTTGTGAAAAAGACAGTAAAATTAGGGGGTTGAGAGAGTATTTTATCTCCCTAAGTTTACTAGTCTAAACCTTGGTGTAAGTCCACAACTCCTTATCCAACATCCCTGGGGCCAAATGTGTTTTGGAATTCAGAACTTTTCAGATTTTAGAAAAGTATTACAGTATATGCAACATATACTGAGTAGTATTACTCCAGCAGGGACCAGGGAGCAACTTTTAATCAAACACCAAAAATATTTCTGTAGTGAAACAGGTGAATATTCACACTAAATGAGTCTGTGCTAAACTTAGGGGGGGAATACTCATTTTTCAGAGCTTTCTGATTTTGAATTGTGAACACAGGATTATAAATATTATCTGACAGAACATGGTCATGTTTTAGAGTAGGGGAAGCATACATTTCTTTTTTTTTTTTTTTTTTTTTTTTTTTTTTTTTTTTCTTCCAAAGTGAAACCACCAGGTTAAAAATAAGTACTTTCCCTTTGCCTTCCTCTTTTTGGGGGGAATTGCAGGATTCAGCTCTCACTTGCAATTAAAATGATCTGTACAACTCTTTTTGCTAAGATTTTCAAAAGATCATTAATCTGCTTCAAAAGAGTGCCACTGAAGGATATCAAAATTCAGTCTGATTTGATTTTGTTTAGCCAATTAACAAGCTAACCATTCAACTTAGAAAAAGGAAGATACTAGGAACAGGAGAATAGGAGAATCCATAAATCTGATGAAAGGGTGCCAACAGGTTCTAGGGCTCCTGGATCTGAACACGACCAGCACTCTGGCCCAGCTCCAGATGCCTCAGAGCAACTCATGGTTCATTCTTCTCTTTCCCAAAACTAACGCACACCATCGTTAAGGTAAATATGTAACAATCCAAGGCCAGTGCAACAAAAGCAGGTTTTTGCAATCTCTACGTTTGAGCTATTTATGCCAAATGCCTGTGTATATTACAAAAATTACATATACATATTACTGAGATATGCACAACTGTAAGACTCAGGAGGTAATTTTTTTCCAGAAACGGAGGTGTTTTTTGCTTTTTTTTTTTAACTTCGGTAAAACATGTATAACGTAAAACTTACATTTCAGCCGTGTTTAACAGTTGTGCAACCATCACCACCAACGGTTTCCAAACTTTTCTATGACCCCCAACAGAAATTCTATAACCATTACACAATAACACTCCGTTCTCCCCTGCTTCTAACCTCTGGTTACTCTATCAACTTGCCTAAATATTTTATGCAAAGGGAGTCATGATAGTTGTCCTTTTGTGTCTGGCTTATTGCATTTAGCATAGTATTTGCAAGGCTTATCCATGTTGCAATGCATATCAAACTTTTTTTCTTTAATGGCCAAATGATATTCCACTGTATATATTTATTATACTCTGTTTGTCCATTCATTAGTTGATGGATACATGGGTCGTTTCTACCTTTTGGCTGCTGTGGATAATGTTGCCATGAATATGGGCATATGAGTATCTGTTCCCCTGTCTTTAGTCTTTTTCAATATATACTTAGGAGGTGAATTATTAGGGCATATGGTAATTTTGCCTTTCGTTTTTTGAGGAACTGCCAAACTTTAGAAACTGAGTTCTAAAAACCATTCGAAAAGATTTTTCTTTCCTTAGGCACAATTTGAAACGAAATGCACATGATAAAAAGCGTTATACCATCAGCTTCACAGAAGCTGTCTGAGGAGTCATCATGCTTGGTCCACTGAAGCACAGCCTTCTGTGTTTCCTCGCTTCAAATGAAGAAAACAAGTAGTGTTATCATTTTTTTTAAAATTAATATTTCACAAGAAAAAAATATAAAATACTAAAGCAAAAAAAAAAAAAAAATCAAACCTCAGCGATTCATCCACAGCACCAAGCCGTTCAGCTTGCTCACATTCTTCAATGAGATTATTGGCTACCTCAGAATACTAAAAGGAAAAGGGGAATAGATGGATTATAATTTACTGTGTTTTTAAAACTTTCTCAAGTTCAAAGTTATTTAAGTTTCATTTATACCTAGCACCATTTCCATGGCTTCAAAACTTAAAAAAAACAGGGGTGCCTGGGTGCCTCCGTCAGTTGAGCGACTGGCTCTTGATTTCAGCTCAGGTCATGATCCCAGGGTTGTG